CCGGGCCTGGGATGCTGCTTCACTTCATCTGCACTGATTAAGCTTTTAAATCCTGAAATAGTTTTTTCCAAAGCAGATTTTGAATGTGTGAAGAGCCTTCGCTTCCCTGCGTGGCTTCTGCGTCTCCCCCAAGCTCAGGCTTTGTGGCTGCTCCATTGTAGCTCAGATTCAGCCCCAAAATAGCCCCTGATCACACTGACAATTCCCAGTTCATCCCGCACACAAAGGAGACTCCACAAACTCCACAAGCTTTGTACAAAAACCGCTTTTTTTTGCTTTTATTTCACAAAAATTGGGTGGCTGCTGCAGGAATCAAACCAGGTGAAAAAGTCAGCACAAGGATTATTTATACAGAAACAAAACAGTGCCAAGAATCCAGGTCCTGGGCAGGATCAGCACTAGGACAGTAAAAAATAGTCTCCACCTGGATCCTTGGTATTGATCACGCTAAAAACAACCTGAGGTTACTCTAAACTGGACTATGGGCTGCACCAGAAATCCCATGCTCACCCCAAAGACCCTGGAGGGAAGGGAAGCCTTGGGAATGGGAGGGGGAAGGCAGGCAGGCCCTGACTGCTCTCTGTGAGGCACTGTGGATCGTGGTGGGAGGAAGGTGGAAGGACCTGGCTGTAGGTGATCACCTGAGCAGGTGTGCAGAGAACCCAGGAATGGCTCCTCCACACTCCTGCACCCTCTGGATCTAGGAGCTTCAACAGTTCCCATAAGTGAGTCAATCACCAAAATTCTCTTCAAAGCAAATCCTTAATTGTTAAATAGTGGAAGTGGTTCTGGAGCTTCCAGTATTTCAACTTCACACCTCACCTGGCTAAAAGCCACCCTTGAAAATCAAGGAGCACCTTCAGACCTCCAGCAGGGAAACCCCAAACCCTTCAGGCCAGGACAAGGGTGGAGAACCCGAACCATGGGTGGCAAATAATTTATTGCAGGATTTTTTCCCAAGTTTTGGCAGCCTGCAGGTCTGCACCAGCAGTGCTGTGCTGAGGTGCTCCCAGATCTGCCTGCTGAGGCTGTTCCCTTCCCCAAACCCCCCAGACCACAGTGGGAGGTGACATGAGCTGTCCCCAGGACGCATACCACGGCCGCTGCCCACCTTGGCTGTCTGCAGGAGGTAGTTCTGGCATTCCCATTCCAGCCATCCCACCCCAATCCCAAATTCTAGCACTTCTCTACCTACTTTTTTTTGTTTGTTTTCTTCATTTTAAAAAGTACAAAGTATATGCTCCAAAAAGAGAGACTAAAAATCATGGGTTTATTCCTCCATTGGCTACTGCACCGAACTACTCAGAGTGAAGGTCCAACTACCACCTTCAAAGGCAAAGGAAAGGTAAAACTGGAGCAAGAAAACTCCTACCATTGAGTGGTTTTATTCCAATTGATTCACTCCTGGCTTCATCTGCACGGATCAATATTTCCTGTAATAAGTTATTGAGGCAGCCCCAGGACATGGCCAGCTAGCCCTAAGGAACACGCTGGCATTCCCCGTGCTCCAGCACGCCCTGGTTTTTCTGCTCTGCTCCAAGCACTGGTTTAGCATCCTGTCTTGGTGCTTTGCTCTACCTGGAGACCCCAAAACAACATCACCCTGGTGTGGGAATGCGCCACATCCCAAAGCTCAGCTCATGCCTCCGTCCTAAAATCTGGATTGTTTTAATGCTTCCTGGGAGAAAGCACCAAGAGGAAAGAAACCAGCATGGAGCTCTGCAAGGCAAGCAGGACAAAGGGTAAAGGACTTCCCGCCAGCAACATGGAGGCACTCCTGGCATCTCTGATCTCCAGCTTTCCCAAGGGAATGCCAAGTTCTGTCGGGTTCAGAGCGGTGGGGAGAGGGGGAACGATGCCGTGTAGACGTGTGTGGAAAGGCAAACACACACACACGACCAGGACAGGAGGTGAAAACCTCCCCAGGGAACAGAAGGGAACTGAGGAATTCATTTTTGGTCACCACTATGTTGCTGTAGAAGTTCCTTCCTTCTTCCTTGGCTGCTTAGGGAGCGGCTGAGGCTGGAGGGGCTCCGGCTGGAGGGGGGGTCACCCCTTCCGCAGGTGGCGGAGGCTGTGCCGGAGGGGGATCTGCAAAGAAACAAAGGAGAAACAGTGAGCAGGACACCAGGAGGGGCTGGACATGGAGAAAGGACCTGACATCCATGCCCAGGTGTCTCCATGCCATGGGAGATGTGGCTGTTCAAGGAGGCAGCCAGGACTGTCCTCGCGAATGTCACCAGCATCTCTGCTGCATCACCTGAAGCTCCACTGTACTTCTGTTGTGCTTTTCCACCACTAAGCACCACATGGACTCCATGAAAGAGGGAAAAATTCCTGCATTTTTACACCCAAGATGCCAGAGATGCAGCTCAGCAGCTGGCAAAGTTCATGGCAAGCACCTTAGAGAGCTGGAGTTGGCATGTGTCATCTCCCAACTCTGTGCTCGAGCCCAGATCACAGCTCTTGTCTGGTTAAAATAGATGCAAGGATAGACTTGCCATAGACAGAGCCTGCACTTCCCTTTGAAGGGTGGATGTAGGTTAAGGCACAGGAATCTATGGATGCAGCAAGTAGGAGGAAAGAAATGAGGGACACAAAAGGCCAGCTTCGTGCCCAGAAAGGAGATGCTAATGGAACATGACTGACTTGTTTAGTAGGGGAGAAAAAAAGGAGAAATTAAGATAAGGGAAGAGAGCAAACAGGAATAAAACCTGACACGAGATATTCCCAGTGGTAGAGGCTCAGGGAAAACGAAGGGAAACTAAGTAAAGCTGGAGGAGCACACAAAAATAGCATCAGCTGGAGTATTTCACGCTGGGATGAGTCAGTGCTCTCAGCAGCTCCAGCCAAAATGAGATGGGCTTTTCCCAGTTTTTTTTCTGGGAGAGGTACTACAAGGGATCACAATTCCTGTTCATCCAGTGGCAGTTACATGGAGTATTTTTGGGGTGAAGGTTGCTGTGCTGAAGCAGAGCAGCAGCTGGTCCCAGGCTGCAATTAATAACAACAAATTTACTGAGGAACTCCTGACAGAAAATTCCTCAGCAATTCCTCCCTGTGCCAGCATGTCTTCTGCCTTCTGGGTTTGGCCACATTCTCACAATCATTCAAGGAACACCCACATGTGGCTACAAGTTCAGCTGCTTTTTTGGCTGCCATAAATCAACTTCAGTTTTAGAGGTGTAGGTATTTATACTGGGAATGTTCCTCACATGGTTTATCTTCTTCCTTCTAATCAGGATTTCCTCATTCCAATATCAACGTGCCAAGTTTTGAGTACGGAATTACTGGATTCTAGTCTGACCCCCAATATTTGAGGATTTATAGTTAATCCCTGACCCCACACTGTGAATTCTCCCAGACTAAGTCTAAGGAGAGGTTTTGGATCATCACCACTGAGCCTCAGTACCACTATAAATAAAATACAGGGATGTTATAAATAAAATAAAGGACAATGGAGTGTGTTAGGATACCCAGAGGAGAGAAGCACTTAAAGCTTCAAACACACCTCTGGCACCAGCATTGGGCTGCCAGTGTGCACAGATCCTAGTATTCCCACAGGAAACAAAGGGGTTTCCATTAAACTGACTTTTTCCAGTGACAGAGAAGCCACAACAGGAATATCCAAAGGGTTTCCTGCCAGAGTGCACTTACACATGCCGTTGGGAGCTGCCAGAGGAACGCGAGGTCCGATGAGGTTCCCCGACATCGGTGACATCCCGGGCGGGGGAGGACCACCGCCTGCTGGGTGGATGTTGGCCGACACACTTGGCATCATCCGGCCTGGCATGGGCTGGCCAGGGATCATGGAACCCGGCCCTGGCATCTGACCTGTGACAGGAGAGAGGAGACACCATGGTGAGACTCATGGAAGCGGTGGGAAGAGGAAAAACAGAGTTGAATTGTTCACTGAGCAGTGGAAGAGTCTTGTGAGTTGGCTCCATGCACACTCCAAACTCCAAGGAAATGCCTCTGCATCCCCCAAAGTCAACACATTCCCTTCAGGAAGGGCCATGGAGCACTTGGCCTCTCTCAGCACAAGAGGCAAGTGGAAGGTAATGGAGTCAAACCCAACGTCTGCAGTGAATCCTCACCAAAAAGGCATTTGATGGAATCTAAATGAAGGTAAACAAACTGCACTGAATAACAAGGCACCAAAGTATGAGGACTGATGGGAAGGAGCAGCCACAAAGCTTCATGGATTAATTCAATGGGAGAACTGAAATCATACAGTTAAAGTTTGGGCTGTACAGGAATTTCTGCTACTATTCCCTTGTTTTGCTGCAAGGGCGAGTTCCAACCCTCTTCCTCACAAACCAGCCCTGAAGGAGACTCTTCTGTTCCAGCTGCACTCAGGAACTGCTGGAACCACCCAGCCCTGGACACCTACAACTTACTGATTGATGCTTTAAAATCTCATTTGAAGAGATTATTTTGCATAATCCAATTACATTTACTCTTACACACTTCCATGAAGGGACAGCATTTTAGTCTAAAAGCAGTGATTAGACACGGATTGTAACGGCTCCTTCCACCCCAACCACAGGCAAGGCAGGAAATAAGTGGGACAGAACCTTCCAACAAAAAGAAAAAAAAGGCTCTGAACATCCATAAAAAGCATCACAGCCACACAGATAGTTAAAGCCAAGGAAGTGGGCGCTCTGGATTTGGGATTGAGTCAATACTTGGGCATAAACCCTGTTAACTCTCACGCTTGGCTTTGGAACAAGAACTCTGTGTCCAAGTATTCCAGGGATGCCCCATCCCTGGAAGTGTTCCAGGCCAGGTTGGATGAAACTTGGAGCAACCTGGTCTAGTGGAAGGTGTCCCTGCCCATGGCAGGGGTACAACTGATGAGTTTTAAGGTCCTTTGAACCCAAACCAGTCTAGGATTCCAGGATTCTATGATTGCTCTCCACCCTCCAAGGCTGCAGGAGAGAGATGCAAGAATCTCTGCCATGCCCAGTAGTACATGATGACCTGAGGCACTGCAGTCTCAGCAAATACTTGGCAGCTGGAATTGCATTTGGGCAGGCTCTGGGTGAAATATTCACAAAAATAAACCTAGAAGTGATAAAATCCTGTACCAGCAGCAATCTCAGCCCTCTGGGAAGGACAGGGATGATCCACCCACTTCATCAACTGAAACCCTTTGCTGCTGTCCTCTTCCCTTCTGAAATGTCCTGACAACTTCAACTCAAAACAGCTGCTTTCCAAGAAAAATTTCTACTCTCCTGCTCCATTGATTTGTGGATTCCTGGTGGGCTCAAAGCCTTCCAAGGAGATCAAAACAGTATTTATTAGAGATGTGGATTCAGTGTAGAGACTTGGGCACACAGTAATGCCATCAGGATACTTGGAGAAAGTCTGTGTGGAGACAGGCTGAGAGAATTGGGAATGTTTACATAGAGAAGAAAAGGCTCCAGGAAGACCTCAGAGCCCCTTCCAGCTCCTAAAGGGCCTCCAAGAGAGCTGCAGAGGGACTTGGGACAAGGGCCTGGAGGGACAGGACAAGGGGGAATGACTTCCCACTGCCGGAGGGGGCAGGTTGGAAGGGCAAGATCATCCAGTTCCAACCCCCAAAGACACGGAGACTTTTGTAGCAGGAGATATTCACAACTACATGGATGTTATTCAGTGGCCGAAATAAGGCTGATCAGGGAATAAAAATGTATGAAGTAGAACACCAGAGCTGTGTTTGAGAAGCCCAGGAAAGCTGGGAATGGAGGAATCCCCAGCCTGGGAGCTGCTGCCTGACAGGAGCCTCAACCTCTCCAAGCATAATTTGGCCATCTTCCTCCTAACACCACAGGGTCTACAAGATTCTCTTCTCACTAATGAAATGATTAATATTAAAAACCCTCTCCTGAAACACCTGAAGCTGAATCAGACTTTACTACACACTGAGTTGCTTCACATGGGGTCTGAAGTGCCAGCACTGGGCAAAAATTTCTCCAGGGAAAGGCTGTCAAACCTGCAGGGATACACAGATTTAAGGAGTGTTCTATATTCAAATCAACCCCAGTTTGAGCTAGAATCACCACTGAACAGAAATCTACTTGAAAAAAATGCTTCTTCATAAATTCAAAGTGCACCCCATCCCTGAAAGTGTTCCAGGCCAGGCTGGATTGGACTTGGAGCAACCTGGTCTAGTGGAAGGTGTCCCTGCTCATGGCAGGGGGTAGAACTGGATGACCCTTACAGTCCTTTCAATCCAAACCATTGAGATTCTACAACTCCAAATCTCCTAATGATGCTCATTGGGAAGCTCCATCCTACCTGGAAGATGGGAGTCTGCGAAGCATTTTTTCACTCTTTAACTCTGGAGTTTGCTGAAGACTCCCTGAGCTAAGAAGCTCCTCTGTCTAGGAGCCCAGGGCTGGATGCCTGTTGTTTTGCCTCCCTAACATGGGATGCAACAATTTTACCTTAACATCAGTGGAGGGTGCTCGCAGAGCAACAATCCTATCCCAGCCCAACTCCAAAATGCTCAAGCCAAGAGTAATCAACAAACACCCAACCAAACTGGGATTAAATAAGGGGAATTACTGCCACCACCCCAGCAAAAACAAAGTCCTGTTTCTACAGAGATGCTTTTTTTATGCCATTTTACAAGTGAAACTGCTCCAAGACAGCGGCTCAAGCAGAAAATGTGGAAGTGTGACCTACATAGGGGGGAGAGCTTAGAAACAGCAGACGCAGGAAGAGATAAAGCCAAAAGGTTCAGTAAACCAAGATTTAACAGACTAAAAAAACCCTTGACATGTTAAGAGACTGAGGAGGTTTTCTGTCGTGTGCTCCAAAGCATTCCACTGCTACCAAACTGCAGCTTCACATTCCAGGGAAACGGATGAGGAACTGCTTTTAAAGGCTCTCCAAGGTATTTATCTCTATTAAACAAGCCTCTCCCTCTATTAAATCAGCTACTTGAGGGGGCACTGGAGTGATAAACAGTTTTAGGGGTTTTGTTTCGCTGGAGCAGTCAACGGGGCGTGATGCACAAGACTTGGAGCTGATCCAAATCCTCCTGCACACTTCTCCCTGTTCGGTCTTCACAGGAAAAACCTGCAGACACAGCCAGTGCTACATGAAGGAATCACCTTTGTTGGACAGGATTCTGGAGAGAGCAAAGCAGCTGTGCTCCAGTGCTCCTCCGAGCTCCATGGGGATATGCCTGGCTGACATCCCACTCTCCTACTACTGAATGAGTGGTTTCCCAGCCCTGGTATGGGAGGAAGCAGAGAACATCTCCGGGGAATGCCTGCTGGCTTCACTGCAGAGCCCAAAGTGTGCTCCTTCCCACCAGGAACACATTTCAGTGATCTGGAAATCACAGAATCCTAGAAGAGTTTGGGTTGGAAGGGACCTTAAAGCTCATCTTGTTCCACCCTCCTGCCATGGGCAGGGACTTTCTAACAGTAAATCCATCCTTCTATCCACCCTCCCTCCCTCCCAGACACATCCTCTCCATCAGCACGTCCTCTCCCGGTACGCACTGCGGCAGCCAATCCCCCAGCCAAGAACTGTGAATAATTAACCACAATAACTCATTTAGCCTCCATGTCTTGCGGGAAGAGGCAGAATTTCCACTTCACTTGCATATTGCATTTCTGTCCCTCCCCTCCAGCACTGACGACGCAGTCAGACACCTCGGAAGGCCGCGGAGCAGTGTGTCGGGCTCGTGGGGCCCCGACGCCCCCAGCTCACCATTATTTTCCTACAAGGAAGCACGTAGGATACAAGATACCTCATGGAGAAGCTGTTTTGTGTGTTACAGCAGCGAGGACAGCACCATAACCCTCAAATATTAATGAATCTTCAATAAAACATCCCCGTAAGGAGTCGGGAGTGGCTCAAACCCACGGAGAAGCTCTGTGGATGGTGAGATGACAGCACAGCGCGAGTCACTTCAGTATCACTCAGAACCCACAGTGGAACCACTGTCCCGTACTTCATTTACTATTTTATGATATAAATTTCACAATTCATGAAATATTTACTGTTTTTCTTTACTATTCCAGCCCAAAATGCCTCTTGCCTGGGCAGGTTTCCATACAGGACTACACCAAAGAGAACCCAATGTGGCATCAACGTTTCTGTGGCACCAACCACCCTAACACCTTCCAACCCACAGCTACACACAGGTTACAATGCCGTGGATCAGCTGCAATCCTGTTTACCATCCAGATGACTTGGCTTTCCTTTCATCCCAACGCTCCCTGCACAGCTCTGGCCAGTGAGCTCCATATATCTGATGGAGGAAAAGGACAGGATCCCCGAGGGAGAAGTTCCCCACAGAGCTGTGACAGCACAAGATCCTCGAGTAATAAGGGATCAGGGTGCTCTGACAGCCATGAAGAGTCAGGATCCCCTCAGAGCCATGAGGGAACAGGATTCCCCTCAGAGCTGTGATGGACCAGCATCTCTTAGGAGCTGTGCAGGACACACAGAGCTGGTGGGGCTTGGGGTCACCCTCAGAGCCATCAGGGACCCTGGGGGTCCTCTCAGAGCTGTGAGGGTGGAGCATCTCCTTGGAGCTGTGGGGGCTCAGGACCCTCTTGGAGCCATGAGGGTGCAGGATTCCCTCAAGCCATGGGGACACAGGGTCCTCTCTAAGTCATGAGGAATCTGGTTTCTCTCAGAGCTCTGAGGGACCAGGCTTTTCCTAAGTGACGGGAGGGATAAGTTACCCAGACAACACTGACAGCTCTTAACAGAATATTTACCCAAAGGAAGCAAACTCAAAATCCTTATCTGTACCCAGAAAAATCCTGAAATTGTCACCAGTCCAATAGGATAGTAAACAGCATCCAGGAGCTCAATTTAAACCCACAAGTAACAAAATGCAGAACAGCTGAAAAACCACAAGCCAAAAACTCCTGACAAAGTCTTTTTTTCAGTATTTCAACCACCAATAGAAAATGAGGCAAAATATATTGGGAAAAAGGTTATTAAAGTTGCTCATCCAGCTGTGGTGGGAAGTGTATCCTGCCTTCCTCATTCCATTTTAGCCTCAGGTCAGAAGTTATTTACTAGCTGAAAATCCCCCCCGGAAGGACGAGTTAATTAATGACAGCTATTTATACCCAACCATCCCTCTTCCTCCAAGAATTTCCAGGAATTGCTCAATATTACACACCTCTCTGGCTGTGCATTCTGCTCTGGCCACTGCACCAGTTTTGCTTTACATGGAATTCCCCCACAGCTCCTCTCTGCATGGGTTCTCCAGCCTTTTCTTGTGTTTCTCTGGCACTCAACCTGCCTGTGGACACTGGTGTCTGGATGATTTCAGCTCTTCCAGAGAATTCTACAGCCCAGCAGAGCCATATGAGGCCATCATGATGAAAAGTAGCTCATTGCATGGAGATGTTCTCCAGAATAGTCTGAACTGACCCTCCACTGGAGATGTTCACCACCTGGTCCAGTCTGACCTTCCACTGGAGATGTGCACCAGCTGGTCCAGTCTGAACCTGGACTGGAGACATTCACCAGCTGATCCAGATTAATCGTTGGCTGAAGATGTTCACAGCTGGATCCACTGACCCTCCACCAGAGATTTTCACAGCTGTATCCAGCCTGACCCTCCCCTGGAGATGTTCACACCTGTGCCCACAGACTGAGATCTGAGCTAAATAGCCTCTTTTTCTGGAAAAAGCTTCACTGTAAACTTTTAGCTAAGAGACTGAATTAACTGCTTCTGTCTCCGAATGCAGAAGAGCCGTGAGCTGGAATTTATCTTTCTCTCTTCCATCTCTAAATGCCATTTCATATCCTTTCATCACTGTTTCCCACCATCTCTTCAGCTTACGTCAATCACTCTAAAGACATCCGACGTCGCGTTTTGTTCACGGTCTACTGAACCAACAGTCACACTTTCAGTCGCTATTGAGGTCAGAAACCTGTTTGAAAACATCAGTGAGGACCAAGGTAAAGTCTGGAGTGAAAACCAGGCAGCTGAACAGGAAATTGTGCAGGTATTTCCATCTCAGCTTCCCCTTGGGGCTGTGGCTTGGAAGGCTGCCCATTGGTGCTTCTCAATTACTGCTGAGGTGTTTGGGGGGTTTCTGAATGCGCTGGTTCTTCTTGCAGAACTGCTGGACAGAGCAGCAGGCAGTGACTTCTCCAAGTCTCCAATAACATCTTTGTACCTGAGTGTGGAATTCATCACTGAGGTCTCTTAATTGGCCACCTCAGAGAGCAGTTGTTACTGGGGAGTAGCTGAGATCTGGGGCAAAGAAACAGCTCCTTCCCAGAAAAGCACATCAAGCTCTCTGTGGGGAACCTGCACACCACCAGTTCTGTGGTCAGAGGTCCCGTGACACAGTTAAGAGCAGTGAAAAGAGCTTCAGATTTCTTCTGCAAGTGTATCTCAGCTCTCCAAATCCATCTACATCTACTCAGCCCAGAGCCCGCTGTGTGCTGGTCTGATCCCCACAGAGTCAGCAGCAGGTGAGGGGAGATTCTGCCCTTCTCATCCCTGGACAACCCCTTCCAATGCCTGACAACTCTTTCCATGGTTCATGTCTAACATGAACCTCTCCCTGGCATGGCTTGAGACTTTTCTCAAGGAAAGCCAGGCTGGGCATCTTAAACTCCCTGAACAGAAAATCAGGTCAAACTGTGAGTCAGGATCTCCAGGATCTGAAGGACCCCTATGGTACAATTCCCATCCCCAGGACTGGCCCAGACTTCAAGTGCTGAACTCGAGGAAACAGTGAATTTTGCCATTTTCCCTCCTTGCTCTCAAGCTATACAAACTCCAGTGTGAAGTCAGAGAGACTTGGCACTTGTGGACTTCCCAAGCATTTCTAACCAAATTCTAAGGAAGAGCCTGAGAAAAATAGACTATTTTGCTTTCTAGGCAAGATCAGCTGTCTGTGGACGAAGACACAGAGGGGTTTGCTTCAAACTCTCAAAAGGCCTCAAATTCTTCCCTTCAAACTGTCAGAGCAGGTGGAAGGCACAAATCTAGTCCTGGAGGTGATGGAATGAGACAGCATCAGATGCTTCACCCTCATGGGAACTGGAAGTGCTAAGCCTCATCCATGAGTTTCCTGCCCTCAAACAGGGGAGGTGCTGGTGGAAAAGTCAATGTATTGACCAGTTTTAATCAGATCTGAAAGAGAGATGTACTGACTAATTAACACAGAGTCAACACTCTCCGTGATACGCTGAGCAGGATCACTGGGGATGCACAAAGCCTGGATGGCTACGATGGGGCTGAAGCAATAAGGTGTTTTGTGAACCAAGGATGTGAATATATTAAATTGAGTTTTATTAGCCCCCACAGTGAATGCAACAATGCATTTAATCTTGTTACACTTCAAGCCTCAATCTCAGCCTGTAAATAAGAGCTGTGTGTTGATATGCCATGATTCTTCCCCTTAATCTGTCTTCAATTTGCCATTTTTCCATCTTACAGAGTATTTCTTCACTCTACTGCCACATGAGCAGCCCTGAGCAGTCAATACAGCACACAACAGACACATCGAGCTATGATATCTGAATCTAAACCAGACCATGTTTTATCACATCCTGATTCATCTCAGCACCTCCCAAGCAGTCACAGCATTTTTTGTTCACAATGAAGCCAGGAACTCACTGACCCTTAAAACAGAGTGAGCATCTACATCACAAGACAACTCTTAACCTTCCTGCCCAATTAGCATTACTCTGCATCTGCTCATTGAATCAAGTTCTATCACTATGGAGATCCAGTTGGATTACATGAGTCCAGTTTTCCTGGTCATCTGCAAATCCTGCAGTTCCCTGTGCCCTTCTGCTTTTTCCCCAACCAAACACTTCACAGAGGTCTTTTCCCAAGAGGAAAACTCAAGCTCTTGCAGCTTCCTGTTGCCTTGTCCTACTTTTGATTGATACCCCAAATTTTTCAGCTTCTTCACAGAATCACTGAAGTTGGAAAAGACCTCCAAGACCATCAAGTCCAACCTGTGACCTATCACCACCTTGTCAACTTGACCAGAGCACTAAGCGCCATGTCCAGTCATTCCCTGAATGCCTCCAGGGATGGTGACTCCACCACCTTCCTGGACAGCCCCTTCTAATGTCTAACAACCCTTTCTGTGAAGAAATTCCTCCTAAAAGGAGAATAGCAGCAGCCTATGCAAAATCTTCCCAAGTATTTCTGGCTAATAACCAATTCCCCAATATTTTAGCAAGTAAAGTGACCAAGTCACATCACCACCTGACTCCTCCACCTCTGGAATCAGGAGTCTCTCCACCCTTGGAGATACTCAACCCTCAGGAGGACAAGTCCCTTGCCACTGGACCCAGCTGGCCCTGCTCAGAGCAGGAGGCTGGACTGGAGACTCTCATGCGAACCCCCTCTGACCAACACAGATCTGTGAACCTCACCTGGCATTAAGCACAACCAAGCAGGACACAGGAACCCATCAGAGTCAGATCCCCTGCCAAAGGAAGTGCCTTAAGGAGCTTCCTGCCTCTTTCTTGTTCCATTCCTTTCCCTGAATTCTTTTTACATTTTTAGGTGTGTCATGAACTGGAAAATTTGGGGAATGATTGTTTTGAAGGAGCATTTGAATAGAGATTGTTTTTGAAGGAGCATCTCTGCTCAGATCATTGAGCATAAGAAAATCTAAGGAAATACAAACAAGCCAAAAACATTTGGAAGTGATACTCTGGGGCAGCTTCACGTTTTTTCTTTACCTTAGAGCTTGACTGTCTCTAGGCACGAGGACTCTCGTCTCTGCTGGACAATTTGCTCTAGGACTGATGACCTTCACAGGGAAAACAACGTGTTTTCCTATGTCCAGATGGAATTTCACATTTTAATTTGTGCCCACTGCCTCCCACCCTGTTACCAGGTACTGCTGAGGAGAGCCTGGTGCTCTCATTCCCTACTTCTGGGTGTTTACATGGACCATAATACACCTCCTCCCCAAACTCCATCCACTCATCTGGAATGAGGATAAAAGCTCCAAAATGAAGGTGCAGAACAAGCAGAGCTCATCCTTCCAGCAAACTGTCTAACAGCAACATCATTATAAGCCAGTGCCTAACACAGACCATCCCTCACACCTTGGAATGTAAGGAACTTCCTCCTCCCAGTTCTTACCTGGCTGAGGTGGGTGAGGTGGTGGCATCTGGTGGTGCATCATGGGGTATGGTGGAGGCTGCTGATGGGGCAGGAGGCCTGGGTGTGCTGGTGCCCCAAGGGGGTTCATGCCAGGCCCACTGGGGTGCTGGTGAGGCTGCTGGGGGTTCTGGCTGTGCTGCTGCTCCATTTGCTGGCGAGCCCTTAACTCCGCATATTTCAGCTGCTCCATGTGGAAGTTCTGGCGTTCTGTCAGCAGCTGCTGCCTCTGCTGCTCCAACTGTGTCAAAAAGCAGAGAGAAAAGGCAAAGAGGAGATAAGAATTATGTATTTCAAACATGTTTCTGCAAGTCATAGAGTGGTTTGGGTTGGAAGAGACCTGGAAGACCATCTAGCTCCAATCCCCATCACAATCAAACCCAAATGATTCTCCTGTTGCTATCTGCAGCAGGTTTGGATGAAGACTCCAGAGCATTTTCCAGCCGGAACAGATAGAATCATCAAGGTTGGAGGAGACCTCTAAGATCATCCAGTCCAACCATTACCCTGTCACTGTGCTGTAACCCCTAAAGCATATCTTCTAGCACCAGATCCAGATGCCTCAAACACCTCCGGGATAGTGACTCTGTCACCTCCCTGGGCAACCCATTCCAGTGCCCGAGATGAACTCACCTTGTTTTGTCCCAAAACCTCTCAGTAACACAACTTGTTATTCAATGAGTACTGCACAGTGCTTATTGACACAACTCTAGATGAAACTCTGCTTTGCTCTCAATCTTCTGCATGTTGGAATGAGGGAGAACAGGAATTAAAGAGATTTTCTAGGTAAAAGAAAAGGAGAATGTGTACAACAGCAGGAGGTCAGTGATCACTGGCAGGATCCCACTCCATACCTTTAGCTGTTGGAACTGCATGTGGTGTCAGCCAGACAACTGCATTACTATTACAGCAGTAATCTGCACTATTATGAATATTATGCAAAAACCTCATGTCATTTAGGCCAATTAACATAAAAAACAGGCTACCTGGATTAATTATGAAGCCTGTAGACAGCAAGCAAGCCCTGAGCAACCTGGTCTATGGGAAGGTGGTGGAAGGGGTTTGGAACTGAACTAGTTTTAAGGTCCTTCCAGCCCAAACCATTCTGTGATTCTGTGAAAATACAAAAAAAAGCTACAGAAAACATTTTTTACTACTGGAGATATGTGTGATGGATCAGCATCCACACTTCCTGGCTAAAGAAGTGTGAGATACTTGACTTGTTAAAGAAATACTAACAGATTTCTCCATTACTCCTCTCAGGCAACTGGACACTGCGTGACTCGTTTACAAATATTTAACGAGTGTTTTAAGGTATAACTCCATAATTTAGCTGAAAAGCAGTTGCCAAGGAGACTCTCACCTAGCACAAGTTTTCCAAAAATCCCCAAGCTCCCTCAATACTTTGTGCTCACAGTCTGACTGCTGACAAAGCAGGGATGAGGAGGGAACACCACAGAGCAGGCATTCAGCAGCCCCAGATGGGGCTGGAGCCTGATGAATAATACATCCTCCTCGTTGGGGGCTGATTTGCTCCGTGTAGAGACCACAATGTGATTATTCATGCTGCCATGACTCCTTTTTCCTTGACCAATCTGAGATGTTAGTGGGGAAGGACTGGATAGAAGGAAGAGGCACACACCCCACTGGTGTAATGGGGCGTGTGGGGAAACAGATTCTGGGGGTGGCAGGCAGCTCCCAGAGGAATTGCTGCCAATGACCCCAAACAAAGGCTTAGGCAGGATTTTTTAAAGTCTTTTTATACCCTTTTGTACTCCTGCTTTGCTCTCTTTGTGCCACCCCATCCTGCTACAGTTTAGAAAAGTCTTTACAAGTATTTCCCAACAGCATTCAGTGCATGAAAATACACCTTGTAGTAAGGAAAAGTAGATAAAACTTCTCTTCTGCACATTCCCTATGCTCAGAATGAGAAAAGGCAGAGGGACAGGAAAAAAAAGGCATATAAACACTCAATAATATGTGGATTAATAAATAACTCAAGTTATAACATGAGCTGTTCTTAAAACTGAGCTAAGTTTAAGTTTGGGCTCTAGTACAGAGCCCCAACACCTGGTTCTGTACCAGGTTCTGTCACCACCTCAGGAGGTTTGTGGGCACAACCCACAGTTGTACCCTCAGACTGGCATTCAGACAGTTGGTAGTACACATTTTACAGTGGGAGCTCTTATCAGTAATTTGCATTTCCTCTCCAGCTCTCCAATCTCAGTCATTCCTGCAGTAAGAATCAGGCAGCAGCGAGGCTGAGAACCTTAAAGATCAGCACGTGTCACCTGCCACAGAATCCCAGAATGGTTGGGGTTGGAAGGGACCTCTGGAGATCATCCAGACCAACCCCCTGCCCAGGCAGGGTCACCTAGTGCAGGTGACACAGGAATGGGTCCAGGTGGGTTTGGAGTATCTCCAGAGAGGGAGACTCCATACCCTCCCTGGGCACCTGTGCCAGCACTCCATGGAAAGAAGCTCTTCCTCAGGTTGAGGTGGAACTTCTTGTGGTTTAGTTTCTGGCCAGGACTCCTTATCCTGTCGCTGAGCACCACTGAACAGAGCATGGATTGATGAGATCCCTCTCAATCTTTTCTTCTCCAGATTATCCAGGCCCAGCTCTGCAATCCCTCCTCTTCACAGATATGCTCCAGACTGCTCAGCATCTTTGTGGCCCTCTAGGAACCTCTCCAGTAGACTCTCCCTACATAACCCTATTCATGAAATCAGTCAAAAATTTTGGTATGTAGTTATGAATATTACACTTGATAACCTTCCCATTTGCAACACTTGTTTCCACACTGCTGTAAAGTGATTCACAGGGAGAGGAGACTACTACAAGCTTCTAATGTGCACTCACACAACATGTCATTGTACTGCAGCTTCATCTATCAGCACAGAACTTCTTTTCAGGAGGAATTCTTTTCACGGAAATGGTTGTTAGGCATTGGAATGTGCTGTCCAGGGAGGTGGTGGAGTCACCCACCGTCCCTGGAGGTGTTCAAGGAATGACTGGAAGTGGCACTTAGTGCTCTGCTCTAGTTGACTAGGTGGTGGTTGGTCAAAGGCTGGTGTGATGATCTTGGAGATCTTTTCCAACCTTAATGATTCTAGGAATGACTTGGCACTTAGTGCTCTGCTCTAGTTGACTAGGTGGTGGTTGGTCAAAGGCTGGTGTGATGATCTTGGAGATCTTTTCCAACCTTAATGATTCTGGGATTCCTCCCTGAACAGAACCAGCAAAGCTTTCATGTGTCATTAGAAATTCTGGGTCAACAAAGCTCCACCAAGGCTCTGCTTACAGCACTGACATCACTGAAGTAAACACTGAATAAATGTGTTTTGCCTAATAGGTGGTGGTTGGTCAAAGGCTGGTGTGATGATCTTGGAGATCTTTTCCAACCTTAATGATTCTGGGATTCCTCCCTGAACAGAACCAGCAAAGCTTTCATGTGTCATTAGAAATTCTGGGTCAACAAAGCTCCACCAAGGCTCTGCTTACAGCACTGACATCACTGAAGTAAACACTGAATAAATGTGTTTTGCCTAAAATTTAACACCCTCCAGTCTGCAGCACAGACTTCTGTCAACACTTACAGTCCCTGTACCTCCCCTGTAAGCAAAGGCCAGTGCAGCACAAGGACATACGCACAGTGTTCAATGGCACTAAGGAATTTCTTTGGCTTTAATTATTCCACTAAATATCCACAATGATAGGTGAAAAGATAGAATTTAACCACCAGGAAGCCAAGGGGAAAATTTGCATGCACATTTTTAAAAAGGAACATGTCATATGCCTCAAAATGGAGGAAAATAAACCCTCCTGTCACTAATGGAATATAGCCCCCAAAGAAAGAAATCTGCAGAGAACCTTTCCAAAATAGTTAGGTCCATTTCCTGAACTGCCAATCAGTGTCAGAGGCAAACACAGACTCAAACAGTGGAGGATGCTGAGCAATCCAGAAATTCCTGTTGACATCCTGCTCCAGTAGAAGATCACAGTTTGTCAAACTCTATCAACACGATTAAGGGGAACTTTGGATTGGGAAAGCACTGGAAGAAGGTTCTTGATGGAGGGGGTGGTCGGACACCAGGACAGGCTCCCCAGGGATGTGGTCACGGCATCAAGCCTGGCAGATTTCAAGGAGTGTGTGGATGATGGTCTGAGTCATATGGCTTAGTTTTAGGTGGTCCTGTGAGGAGCAGAGAGTAGGACTCAATGACTCTTCCAACCTGAGAGAGTCTATGATTCCATTAATGCCAAATGAGGGTGAGAATTCCATTCAATTCACACAGTAGGGCAAATGTGGAAGAGTCCCTGGAATTATGAGTCAACATCTTCAACCCACCCAGAGTTGCTGTCTGCCGCCAGCAACAAGGCAGCTACATCACACCAAACATGAACTAAAAATTGACCACTCTGATACAAATGAAATTTTGAGTCATCTTTCAAGCAGCTGCAGAGGAACCACTTCTCTGAGAGCCTCCTGCACTGTATCTGACAGTCCCTCATAACTGATGAGTAATCCAAGCACTGACAGCCCAGACAGCATCTCTTCCACACTGTGACTTCCCTGCTGCCTTCCCTTCTCCTGGGGCTGCTGCTGCCTTCCCAGCTCAAGCAAACCCATCACAATCACAATCATCTTCAAACACTGAAGCTGTTACTCCTGAGCACACATCCTCCTGCCTCCACATCCCACTTCCAGGGCTTTCCCAGGAGCTGCCTCCAAAAACACCTAAACTACATATCCCTGAAACCAAGACTCAGCCTGGGTCTGGGAGGAAAGGCAGACAGAGCTGGTTCCCTTTCCTTAGGGAAGGACAGTTTCCACCCATTCCACTCTCTTTACAAGGAAAAGCAGTTCTTATATCAGATATTATCCATGTGGTAAGGCACACAAAGGCTCAACTCCACATTCCTGCCTGGAGTAAGGATTAGGAAGCAAATACAGGATAACACCAGTGTGTTGCTTATGCTGAAGAGAAATGCTGGATGAAGGAGGAGATGCCACTGGGGGAGGTAATTATGGATTCTGGCTGAAGAAGAAAGACACAAAAGTGAGGAAAAGCTGGAGTCACCAGTTTTCCAGCTGTTGGTACACACAGATGTTTGCAGTGATTTAATCCCAAATCCCTACTTACTGCCTCCTTCTCTCGGTCCATAATGGTTTCCAGCTCCTCAAAGTGGCGCAGTTTTATCTCCAGCTTCTTCATCTGGGTTTCCACCAAAAGAGCAACCAGAGACTTGATCTTCCTTTCCTCCACTGCTGCGAGGTGCTGAGGGTAAAACACAGGTTTTACTTCATATTACTCTGCATTTACATTTCACAAAAGAAAGTGCCTTAAGGGAAAAATAATCCAACCATGCCTGTATCCAGCTCTACACATTCTATTCCACTTCTGGACAGAAAACATGGAATTAGACGACCAATTTTATGCTCAGAACCAGAGGCCCTTGGAAGATTATTAAGCTTTTGATCAAACAAATAGGTGTTAAGATTTAATACAAGAGGTATTGAGGGTGCTCAGAGCAATGCAGCTCTGCCTCAGGGCCTTCCCAGGGCACAGAGAGCACTTCCAGTGGGAATGCAAATGAGGGAGAAGGGTCTGTTCTATGGAGTCAGCTGTGGGTCATCCCAAGAGCTCTCACCAAAACACACACAGGAGGCTGTTACCTCCCACAACCCCCAAAACAGGGAAGTGGCACTTGCATGCCTTTACCATTAGAATAGTTTCTTCTCAAATAAAAGGCAAATAGATTCTTTAGAAGGATTCAGCTTTACCCCAGTTCCAGATACACACTTGGACAAAAATAACACAAGAGATCCATAGGTGTGTGTATATATATATTTTTGATATATGAGACAGTTTGTAAGAGTGTTTCACATTCTCCTAGTGTGAAAAGTGTGTTAACGATAGCTTCTACTAATTTTTGTTGAAAACCTGCTGTTCAAAATGAAAATACACTGAAAATACACTCAAACCACCCAGGACGTACTGCTTGGGGGTTTCTATGTATACACTCACAGAGGTGTTTCCATCCACGGTGTCCAAACCAAGCCCTGGACACATCCAAGGGCTGAGGGGGAAGGAGGGTTGGACTGTCAGAAGGGAAAGGTGAGGGATGAGGGGAAGAAGGAAAACAGGAAAAGCAGGAGCTCATGCAGCTCAAGCTGCAAACAGACTCACAGCGGTGAGCCCCAGACTGCCTCAGAACTGGGGGAAAAACCAAGCCGGAGCAAAGCAGAAGTAAAAAAACCTCCCTGTAATCCCAATTACAAACAGAATTTCTCAGAAACATATGACACTGTTTTGTCACTTGGCAGCACTCACCCCTGTAACCCACCAGCAGTAAACCAAGGCCTCAGTAAACCTGGGTAACAGAGATCCATTGGCTCTCACTGAGGTGTATTTTAAGTCAGGTGCAGTTTGAGAGAACCAGAGTGATCCCAAGCTCATCTAACAGCACAAATTCAAGCTGGCTGTTCAGCTAAATCCTGGCCAAAATGCTGTACACACCTGAAATAACCTAACGATGCTGACAGAACTGGAAAATTTAACACCGTTTAGTAAAATAAACTCATTTGTATGAAGAAGATTCAGAGGGAGAGAAGTGCCCAGGTTGATGCAGAGGCTTCAGCCAGTCACTTCGCTCTGCTTCACATGTGCAATTTAATAAAGAAACCAGATTAACATCAAATCAGCAAAGCACATGATTAGGTAAAAAACAGGTCTCAAAACACATGTAAGAAAGGAAATTATCACTGCAGTTTTTCCTAGAGAGACCGTTCCTCGGCCTGGCATGACCCAGGGCACTATGTGGGCCAAGTCCTTACTAACTGCAGCTGAGAGAAAATGAGTAGCACAACAGCGATGGGAATTTAAATTGCCTGATAAACACATCGTTGCATCCACCTCAAGTCATAAATAAGCAAATGATCTTAAAGGGCTTTTTCAATATGAATGATTATAATAACAAGAACCAGAGAATCCCAAAAAGGTTTGGGTGGGAAGGAACCTTAAGGATCATTTGGTTCCACCCTCTGCCACGGACAGGGGCAGAACAAGTTGCTCAATGCCACATCCAACCTGGCCTGGAACACTTCCAGGGATGGGGCAGACAGCTGCTCTGGGCAACCTGTGCCAGTGCCTCACTGCACTCACAGCCAACAATTCCTTACCAATAGCCTACCTATTCCTGCCCTCTGGCAGTGGGAAGCCATTCTCCCTTGTCCTGTCCCTCTAGGCCCTTGTCTCAAGTCCATCTGCAGCTCTCTTGGAGCCCCTTGAGGCACTGGAAGGGGCTCTAAGGTCCTTCCTTGCTTCTCTCTTCCTATTTGGTCAGACAAGACTCAATGTTTTACCTGGTTCTTGTTTTGTGAGGCCAAGAGGGAATAAGAGTCCTTCAGAAATGAAAGACACGAAATACAGGTGGCATATAATGCAGAACCATCTAAATTATGGCCCAGAGTGGCAAAGTCCTGTCATGAAGATGTTCAGGTACAAGATGACAATGGTCCTACAGACAGTTTCTAGAGCAGCAGCAAAAAGGAACTAATTAAAGATATAATTTGATTTGCCTAGAAAAAGACAATGGGAAAACAGAAACATGACTTTAGCAACAAAGTCCCCTCTATTCCTGAATAGATACCCATAAGACAAGAAAAAAAAACAGGATAAAGAAGGCTTTTCAATTCCACAGGCAAAGGCAACTGTTGCCATGGGACAGTGGTTGTTGGCTGAAGCATAATCAGACTGGAAATAAAGCTTTTCCCCATGGAAAAACTTCTGGACAATGAAAGAAGTTTTGCGCTACTGCAATCAGTGTTTTCTAGGAAAGATCTATTCACTCAGAACTATCTTAGAACAGGAATTCAGGGCAGTCATGAGATCAGTGTTATGCAGGAGGTCAAATTTTGACCGTAACAGTCCTTTTGGGCAGTGGAAGTGATGGATCAAGAGCTACAGCAGAAGTTCTGCAGCTCAGTCACAGCTGGGTCGGAGCTAAGAGCAACCTGCAGCAGAGGATATGTTCCATCAGATGCTACTTAGGCACAGGAAGGAAAAACCACCTCACATTGGTTTAGGACTAAGAGGAAATGAGGAAAAGGGACCAATTGTAATATTGTCTGTACTGAAGACCTAACCTGTAAAAATACATTCTCAATTGTTGCTGTAGTCTATATGCAGCAATATAGAATATAAGAACAAAACCAAACCCAAACAACCCAAAACTTCCACTTGAAGCTCCTGCCTCTAACCCATTTATCCTTAGAAGCCAACTGCAATATTCCTGATATAAAATCAGAAGGAAAACACCTCTGTAAAAGCTGCTCATGTGACCAGGCCTAGAGCTGACCATGAAAAATTTAATTAGTCCCTCAGTCAAGGCATAGATCACCAAAAGCTTTAACACTGTCTGGGTTTTTAAGTGAGTGCAAAGAAAAATCCATGAACCTGAACTCTGAAGCGTCAACACCCTAATTACAATACATTATTTCCTGTAATAGAAAGCTAAAATCCTTCTAGAACATTATTATTACCATAATGAAAACTGCCATTAGCCAAGTCCCTGCTCCCTCCAGCACTCGTTATTACCAGAGGAAGGGAAGCAGGAGCTCATCTTTATTTGGAGCAAGTGGCCTTCCATAAAACACAGATTAAATTTCATGTCAACACCCTAATTACAATACATTATTTCCTGTAATAGAAAGCTAAAATCCTTCTAGAACATTATTATTACCATAATGAAAACTGCCATTAGCCAAGTCCCTGCTCCCTCCAGCACTCGTTATTACCAGAGGAAGGGAAGCAGGAGCTCATCTTTATTTGGAGCAAGTGGCCTTCCATAAAACACAGATTAAATTTCATGTCTCCTTCTCTACATGCATGTTTTATTGAAGCTGGCTGAGAATATCTGTGAGACTGATAAACGAAGTTACTCTCAGGTGCAGATGCTAACAAAGTGATGCACAAGGGTGTCAGCTCAGGGGCTGCACTTCACTGCAATATTGAACCTCAAGGTGACCTGCAGTTTGGGGTTTTAATGAACATGAAGTTTGCCTGAAATCTGGGTTTTTACAAGCTGGTTTGAAAGGTAACAACTGAAATATCCTCAGTCTCATGGGTGGGACCTGTACCATGATACCCTCCAGCATCACACTGTAGTCAACCCAGGTGATACAACTGAGGTAAATCTGAAGTTCAAGTTTTAAGAGTCAAAGATAAGAGTGTGAAAGTCACTAAGACACACAACACCTCATTATGCCCATTGTTATGCTCTGGAAATCCCTAAGGAAGAAATACCACCCATGCTTTGGTTTTGGGATCTATAAAGCAGGCGGCATGGAACACAGGACTGAATCCAAGAGGGATTAAAAAACCCAAACTACAACTTGAATCCAGAGAAATCTGTAAAGGGAAAAGAGATTTTGAAACAGATACTGTGCAAGAGATGAAAGCAGTGTGGTTCCTGCAAAGAGAAAAGGGAAGACAACGTACAATTAGTAATTACAGGGTAAAGAAAAGCTATGAGACAGGGTGGTGATCAAACACAGCTCATTAGACTACACACAAACAGGAGTTTTAGAAAGACAAGAATGAGCTTTAAACAGACCTCTTAGCAAAAACATTAAATCATTAAGTTGTCTATACAAATTGCAGTGGCAGAATTGAACATTGCACAGCGTTTACAGAGCTCAAGCACAGAGGGTTTGTGTGGAGCCATCAGAGCAGCAGAAAGGCAATACAAGGTGTTATCAGCCAGACCTACATCCTCAGCAATACAGCCACAACGTCCCCAGCAGAGAAAAGCCATTCCAAAAATTAATTAAAGTGTTTTGGGGCTATTTCTTAGGGATCTTCATTGACTTCATAATCACAAAAGCAGCTCCTAAATTAAAATCGTATATTATCTCACTTAGGGGTTCAAGCAGGAAAAACTGAAGGCAGCACTTGTGTTTCTTCAAGGTATCAGAGATTAGAATGTGAGATCACACAGATTTGTACAAAGACCCATTTTAGTTGAGTTCTATGTGCCCTGGAAGCCAAACCAGGGGGTGTTGGTATGAAACAAACCTTGGCTTTGGTGGCAGCGGAGGCCAAGGCAGCAGCTGCAGCTGTGGCAACATTTCCTTCCGAGATCTCATGTTCCACTTTCTTCTTCCCAGCCTCATTCTCTTTGTCCTTGCTGGCATCAAGGTTCTCCTTGTTCTCTTCTGCCTCCTTCTCCTCTGCAAGAGATCCCCCACCCAGACTGTTACACGCCTGCTCCCCTCGGTCCCAGCAGCACACGGGGACGGGGATGGCACTCACACACACATCACTCACGCTAATTAATTCATCCACGCATCACAGCACTGCTCCTTGCCAAATGCTGACAGGGGAACCTCAATTTGAGAGAAGCAGGTCCAAAAACAGGGCAACCTTCAATGCTTTTTGTTTCCATCCTCTTAGTTCATAACCTGCCATCCATCAGCTTTGGCTCATCACTTCCACATTAACTCCACTTTTACATCAAATGCAAATGCTGCTGCTCCTACCTGGTGCTAAAAATTGAATCTAAGTTTCAGGAAAACCTCAATATATTCACTGCCATCCCTGGATGCGTTCCAGGCCAGGCTGGATGGGGTTTGGAGCAACCTAGTCTAATGGAAGGTGTCACTGCCCATGGCAGGGGAGGGACTGGATGGGCTTTACAGTCCTTCCAGCCCAAACCATTCTGGGGTTCTACGAGGCACAAGGGAAATATGTTAAATAAAAACAAGGTTTTATGTAGAAAACAATGTTACTTCTCAACTGTACAAGTGCAAGGTTTATCACCTCACAGCAAAAATAAGCTGAAATACTAACTTTTAAACACAGAAGTGAGCAGAGAATCATGGAATGGTTTGGGTTGGAAGGATCTCAAAGCTCATCCTATCCCACCCCCTGCCACAGGCAGGGACACCTTCCACTAGTACAGGTTGCTCCAAGCCCCATCCAACCCTACCTGCCTGGAACACCTCCAGCAGTTCCACTTCTTTGCATCCAAAATGATCACATGTTATGGAATATGAGCAAAATAAAATCATTTACATGGCCTACACACACTTTGGTACTGCAATCTCTCCACCCAGTCCCTCCATGAGACCAAGCTCAGCTGAGGTCTACCATGAGCTCAAGGAAGAATTTAGTGCTTGAGCTTTGCAGTGACATTAAACCAGAATCTGTTCCACTGAAGCATGAGGCAGCGTGATGTGCAGGAGGAAATATTTCCAGCTGGGTTTGTGGTCCATTCCAAGCACTTTGGGGAAGGCTGCTGAAGCCAGCACAGCTGGAGGAGCAGCTGGGAACTGTTACCTGGCTTGGGCTCTGCAGCCACTTCGCTCTCAGGCTCCTTTTCTGAATTTCTCTCATTTTCTCCTTCTGGTGCTTTATCTCCTTCCTCAATTTCACTCTCGGTTTTGCTTTCCACCTAAATGGTATGAAAGATTAGAGAACAACAGCTAGAGAAGACATTCACTGTTAACTTCCTTTATAGCTTTCAAAGTAATACATTACCGTTAAGGAAGAGAATAAATTTTAGAATCACAGAATATCCTGAGCTGGAAGTGACCCACAAAGATCACTGATCCAACCCCTGGCCCTGCACAACCCGAACAATCCCACCACATGTGTAAGAGCATTGTCCAAACACTCCCTGAGCTCTGTCAGGCTTGGGGCTGTGACCACTGCCCTGGGGAGCTGTTCCAGTATCCAAACACCTTCTGGGGGAAGAATCTTTTCTTAATATCCAACCTAAACCTCCCCCAACACAGCTTGAGGCTTTTTTCTCTCATCCTGCCCTTTGTTACATGGGAGCAAAGCCCAACCCCTCACCTGGCTGCACCTCCTGTCAGGGGGTTGAGACAGTCAGAAGGTCACTCTGAGACTCCTTTTATCCAGGCTGAGTTCCCCCAGCTCTCTCAGCCCCTCCTGGTGCTCCAAACCTTTCCCCAGCTCCGTTCCCTTCTCTGGACACACTCCAGCTCCTCAATATCCTTCTTTGGGGCCCAGAACTGGACACAGCACCCAAGATGTGAGCACTGCAATCCCTTGGTATCACCTGATTTGCATTTCCTCCTAGTCCAACCTCTTTTCCTCAGGACTAGGAAGCACCACACTGATGTATGTCATCTCCCAGCAAAGGAAATGTCTCTCTGTGGTTTAAGACCAAATCACTCACAAAAAATGAACTCTATGGAGGCTGAAAACTGTTCCCTATGGATACACAAACTAGCATACCTCTGCCTACCTGTCTAAAACACAGTAATTCAGGTTTTTAAGTGTCAGAAGTCTGTCCGTCAGCACTGCACAGGGCCAAACTTACCTTCTCAGCCTGCTGCCCCTCTGACTCTGTTTCCATCTTTTCTTCTTCAGCTCCATCTGAGAAAACAAGTCACAAAGCACTTAGAATTGCTGTAACAGCCACATATCACACTCAGGGTTTATTTCAGGGTTAACTGAAGTTTTCTGTTCTCTAACAGGGGTTTCAAGAAAGCCACAGCTCTAAACTCCTGCAAGACTCATATCTTATGACACAGGTTTTAGTTTATAAATCAAGTTTGCCTGTAAATTTAACTGCTTTTTTTCTGCTCAGTCTGGAACAGAACATTAAGCCACCTGTGCTCTGCT